ATCAGAGAACAAAATACAGTAAGGAATATGTTATTCTTTTAATATATGCATATGGTTGTTTCTAACTATATTGAGAAATCTCTCTACTGAGAACTAAATAAGGTGAAGAGATGAGTTCTTCTGCAGTATATAGGAGAAGTAATTGCTAAGATATAGGCCATCATTAGAAAATACAATGACTCTAGTCTTGTGATGATTCAAACATGTTTTTCCTATAATATGGAAATACAGTAGTTATGATCATTAACTACATAACTCATAGAATCAGTGAGCTGTAAGGAATGTTGGATAATTTCCAAGGGCAATTCTTACCTAAAGCATGAATTTTTGACAAATGATCATCTAGCCTTTGCTCAAAAATCTCTCTCATCAGAGAATAGGGAGACAGCATGATGAAGATAAGAATTCGGAAGGTTGAGTCAGGGAACCTGGGCTTATATCCCAGCTCTGCCATTTATTATTCCTACTGGGTATCCCAAGAGTCTTGGTGCAGTTTTAAGCTAATACACCTTTAGACTACCAACAATTAACTTCATGTTTATGGGGGTTTTAAAAAGCATATGTTTGGTGATGTGAGCCATCGCAACTCAGTGCCAGCTTTGGGCACTGAGGAGGCATGCCTGGAACTAAGCCATGGATACTTGTATGGCTATTAAAGCTTAAAACTGCACTAAGACTTTTAGAATATTCTGTAAGACCTTGCATGAGTCACCTAATCTCTCTGAGTTTCAGTTTCCTCTTCTGTAAATGAGGGGGTTGTACTAAATGATTTTTGAAGTCTTTTTTAGGCTTTTATCTCTAAATCTATGGTCCCGTGAACTTACTACCTTATAAAGCAGACCATTCCATTTTGGGATAGCTCTAGTTGTTAAAAATTTCTTGTTTAGGGGCAGCTAGGTGGCGGAGTGGATAGAGCTCTGACCTTGGAGTCAGGAGGAACTGAGTTCAAATCTGGCTTCAGACCCTTGACACTTACTAGCTGTGTGACCCTGGGCAAGTCACCTAACCCCAATTGCCTCACCAAAAAAAGCAAAAAAAAAAATTCTTGTTTATAGTTCAGTTCTTGGAAAGGTCTGTGATGTCATCAGGTTGGTACTACCTTCATCCATGTGGATTGAAATCTCTCTAAACCTTGGTAGGCAGTTTCAAGAGTACCGTAGCTTGGAAAAAATTCATCACCTGATGGCTATCCATCCCGTGGGGAGCCTTTCTGAATTTGCTAGGCTTGATCAGCCACTCAATATGTATTTTAAGCTTTTCCAACTTGACAAGAACTGTTGGAGTCTTTGAGACCCTAGAATCTAATTGTTACTCATTGATTCATTCAACCAACAAAAACTTGTTTGGAAGCGCTGCATGCAGAGTAATGAGCTGTGGGTTGTAGGAGGCTCAAAGTTAAGATAAAAGAGAGTTCCTGTCATCACAGAACTCATAGTCTAGCAGAGAATAAGCCACAGATCACTGTAATATATAAAATTACATAAGTACATTAGAAATTAGCAAAATAAAGTACCGTCCGATGGATCGGGCAGGGAGTAGAGGTAGTTGTTACCATTCAGGGAGATCAGAGAAGGCTTCATGAAGGAGACAGCATCTGAATTGGTTTTAAAAGTTGCAGAGGATTGGAAGGGCAAAGAAAGGGAGAATGAATATCCTAACTATAGGAAACATCATGAGCACAGACATAGAAATGGGGGGATAAATAGAGAAGCAAGTGGGAGATTAGTATGTGATAGAGTTTGAAAATCATGGCAGCATAATGTACAAAGACCTTAAATGACAAGCAAAGAATTTTGAATTACTATAAGGCAATAGTAAGTCACTGAAGAATTTTTTTAAAGCAAAATATTGATAGGATCAGACTTATGTGCCTTGTACATAGGAAGTACTTGATAAATGTTTGTTGAATTGAATGAATCCATAAAAAGATTATTTTGGTAGTAATATAAGATATAGATTGGAGTGGGGAGGGATAGGAGGGAGACTTCATAAGAGATTATCTTAGCAATGTAGGTGGGCAGAAATCAGGGCTTGTGATAGGATAGTAGTAATGGGAATAGAAAGAAAAGTATGCTGACATGAAATCAATAGGACTTGGTAGCTAAATGGGTATGAGAGGTGAGGAAAAGTAAAAAGTAAAATGGGAGACTTGGAGAATGGTATTGCTGCAGATGGAAATAATGAAGTAGAAGCAGGAATAGGTTTTGGGGAATCAGTAATCAACTAGGTTTGGTCGTGTTAAGTCTGAGATGCTAGTGAGGCATCCAAATGGGTAAATCCTACAGGCAGTTGGAAATTCAGGTCTAAAGTCTTAAAAAGAAGTCGCATTTGGAAATAGGAGAATTTGGTGTCTTTGGTATGTAGAAATAGCATCTGAAGTCATGGACTAAAGTAGACAGTTGAAAGAAGAGAAAAGGGCCAAGGACAGAACTCTGGAGAATATGTGTAACAGAGTAAGGAAGAGGATGAGGAATGAACAGTCAAAGAAGGAACAATTTGAGAAGTCAGAGAATTAAGACAAAAAAAGTGTCTTTGAAACCAAGGGAAAGACAGTATCTAGTAGGAGGAAAAGGATTAGCTTTGTCAAAAAGCTACAGGAATTTGGGGGCAAGGAGAAGGCAAGGAGTATGAAGACTGAATAAAGGTCATTGGATATGACAATTAGGAAATTACTGACAATTTTAGAGTTAGTAGGTTTTTTAAAATATCTGATTTTTATTAGTGTCTTTTGTTTTTACAATCAATCACCAACAATCAATTTTACAATCAATTAATCATTTACTATGTGCCAGGCACTGTGCTATATGCTAGGGATACAAAGACCAAATGAAAGTCCCTACTCTTATGAAGCTTACATTCAACTGGAGAAGACAGCATGTACATATAGAAATATATACAAATACCCACATGCAAAATGTTCACATATATAGTTATTTACATCACACTCATTCCTGAATGTGTCTTTCCTTTCTTTAGAAAAAGGGGCAAAATAGTTCAGCAGAATTACCTAGTACATCAACTGAGCTTGACAGTATGTGCAATATTCAACATCTACAACATCTATACATTGCCACTTCTCCAGTGAAGGGAGGGAGGCACATTTCTTCAACTTTTTCCCAAGGTCAAGCTTCCAGGGTCATTATGATTACAATGTTCAGTTTCGTTTTTTGTTTTTGCTTTTAGAGAAAGTAATTTCAATCTACTGGAAAAGGCAGAAACCTGGTTCAAAATGGATTAGGTACTGAGGTAGTGGAATGATTATTTTTCAATTGGAAAGATCAAGTATAGATAACTCTCACAAGAAATGTATTAATTTAGGGAATAAAGAAATAGAACAATAGCTAGCTTGATGGAGTTTAGAAGAGTCAAAGAAAGGCTTTGTTAATAAGTGAGAAGATCTGGCTATGTTAGGAAGTTCTTTCCTATACTGAATTGGAATTTATCTCTCTCTACCATCCAATGGTCTGAGTTCTGCCTTCTTAGACAAAACAGAGTAATTCTTTTATTCCACCTGTATGACAACCCTTTTAACATTTAAGGATAACATAATGCCCTCCTTAAACCCTGCAATCATAGTCTTCTCTTGGTAGGCTAGATGTTATAAATTCTTACAAGTGATCTTTATATGACATGGTCTCCAAATGTTTTTGTTTCCATACCCTCATATTATTTAGATATCATAATGCATAATTTAAAAAATTAATACTTCTCTTCAGTATACCATATACATATATATACATGTATATATATCTTGGAATACACTGTTTTTGGTTTGTTTTTTTTTTCTGGCTAGGCAGTGGGGTTAAGTGACTTGCCCAGGGTCACACAGCTAGTAAGTGTTATGTGTCTGAGGCTGGATTTGAACTCAGATCTTCCTGAATCCAGGGCCAGTGCTCTATCCACTGTACCACCTAGCTGTTCCTGAATAGACTGTTTTTGAAGATAGTAAGTTCCCCCTCATTGGAGATATGCTAGCTGAGGCTGAATAATCATTATTTTCTCCTCCTTGTAACAAATGTGTATAGTCAAACAAAACAAACTTCTGAATTTGCCATGTCCAAAAGAAAAAGAACATGTGTGTATGCAAACATACATACACACATATATGTATATTTATCTCATTCTATACTCTGAATCTTTCACATTTCTTTCAAGAGATATGAGTAGCATATTTCATCATTAGTTTTTTAGAATTGTGGTTAATCATTACACCAACTCAGTGAACTTGACCTCCTTGGGCCTCAATTTCTTCCTCAGTAAAATGAGTGGATTGAACTAAATGACATCTAAAGTCTCTTCAAGCTCTGAATCTTTCATTCTGTGATCCTTGATTATGTTCCAGTGGATCTGTGCTGTCAACATGGGTACTCTCCATCAAGAATGGCAGCCTGGGGCAGACAGGTGGCACAGTGGATAGAGCACCAGCCCTGAAGTCAGGAGGATCTGAGTTCAAACGCGGCCTCAGACCAAACACTTGACACTTACTAGCTGTGTGACCCTGGGCAAGTCACTTAACCCCAATTGCCTAAGGGAAAAAAAAAAAGAATGGCAGCCTGTCCATAATTGCCACAACAGGTCCTCCCAATATGCTGGTGATATTCCTCATGCTTCGTTTGAAATGTTTTTTTTTTTTAATTACAAATTTGACAAATATTAACAAACACGAACCTTTCTGATTACAAAGAAAAGTAGAAAAAAAGTTTGCATATGAAATCCTCACCTCAATATGTATGTATTATATACTTTTTTTACAAATATATATTAAATTTAATAGAGCAGTATCAACACTACCCTGTTTTCTGTGCCCGTTTCTGCTCTTTGATTGTATTTTAAGATGTTTTATTTACACTCTTTTCTTCATTTTTTGTCATCACTATCACTACCTCAACTCCCTCCCCAAGATTTTCCTCCCCTCAAAATAAATGCCTTTGCTTGTAACAAATAAGTATGGACAAGTAAAAAGCAAACATTCTTCCCACTCCTTGCAAAAACAAACAAAATACATTAAAGATTGCTTCATGAATTTGCATGTCAACCTTGAACATGAACCATACTAATCTCTTTATTATTCCAATTTTAGCATATGTGCTGCTGAAGTAAGCACTTCCTTGCACTTTTGTGACACTGGAACATGTGTACTGTCCTTCAGTTTTCCTTTGCTTTTGCTACGTGACTGACCCATCTTTCTTTTTCCAGCGATACATTTCTCCTATGACATTTGTTACACAATTTCTACTGTGTAAGTCCTCACTTGTAACATGTTGCCACTTATATCTTGTCTCAAAACCATGCATCTCTCTTCTGTTCTTTGGGCAATCCTTAACTTCAATTGTTTGGAGACTCAGGGTCATGCAACATTACTGGGAAACTATTGATGTCAAAAAGATGGGCTTTTGTTTTGTGGAGAATCATAGGATCACTAAATGAATTGTACAATTTTCCAAGGCATTCAAACCCTTCCTCCTCCTCCTGTTCAATTGTGGACCTAACTCACTGTCCATCTGTAGTATCTTTCCAGGATATACGTACTAGTGGATGAACTCTATGGTTTGCCCATCCAACTGTATATCATCCTTGATGTGTTTCATCACATGGTGTTAGAACCTTTTATTTCATTTTAAAATAAACTAAATATATGCTTTTCTTACTATATTGCCTTTTAATTTATGTGTTCCCTTAAGTCTTCTTTCAAACAACTTTGCAATTTGCAAAGATAAGAATTAGCTTTATAGGTAGTAAACTCCTAAACTATGTAGACTAGTGAGAAAGGTACTATAGTAAAATGGGGGAAAAAATACTAGATTTAGACTCAATTTAGACCTGAGTTTGAAACCCAGTTCTACCAACCCCTTCAGGGGAAGGAAAGGGAATAAGAAGATTAGAGACCGGTTCCAGTCTGATTGATAAGTGTCTACTATATGCTGGACAGTATGCTAAGTGTTTTACAAAGATTATTTAATTGGACCCTCATAATAATCTGTGAAATAGGTGGCATTATTATCCTTATATTATAGTTGAGGAAACTGAAGCAGTCAGGGATTAAGTGACTTGTCTGGGATTACACATCTAGTTAAGTTTCTGAGGCTAGATTTGAACTCAGGTCTTCCTGATTCAAGACTGAGCACTCTACTCATCAGCTGCCTTAGGTGTCACTTTCGCTCTTTAAGCCTCAGTATACTGATCTGTAAAATGGGGATTATGCTATCATTCTCACAAGGCTGTTGTAAGGAGAGTACTTTGGAAACCATAAAATGCTATAAATTATGACCTTGTATTATTATTCATATTTTGGTAGTTCCCTGTATCCCTTCTAGCCCCCAAATTCTATGACTCTTAATTTATATAGTTACAAGACTAGTATCATGGCTAAGTACTTAGTAAATGCTGTTTGATGATGAAGTTGTATTTTTATTAAAGAAATTCAAGATACTTTACAAATATTAGATTATTAATACTGGGTCACAAGTGTTATCCTCCCTTAATTTGTAGAAATGTACACACATTTTGGTCAGAAGAACAAACACAGACAAGTTTTACATCCAAAAGACATACTCAGGCTCTGTTGGTCTAGTATCCTTTATAACACCACTACATGTTTTAATAAATGTTATAAATAGTCAACCTTGAGGTAAGGCTACATTTATGAAACTTCTCTGACAATGAAATAGCTGATGTACTTTTGAAAACTTCATTGCAGCTAATTATAAAGGCAGCCTGGTAAAGTGGATTTAGAGTTAGAGGTACTGGACTTGAATACTAATCCTGCTACTTTACTACTTGTGTGACGTCAAGCAAACCTCTCTCTGGGCCTTGATTTTCTTATCTGTTTTCTCTACATAAGGACTCCTGGATCTTACCATCTGCCCTAAAACTGCACCCTTACATCTTCAGAGCCTTCCTATCCACATTGCTGCTGAATTCTTATGTGTATTGTCTTTCCCTAATTGGAAACTGAACTCTCTTATATGTGATGTCCTTCCCAATTAGATATGAAGTCCTTGAGAGAGTAAAGGCCGTTAACTTTTTCTACTTCTATCTAAAAAGTTTAGCACAGTGATTGGCACATGGTGGATAGATTGCCAGGCCTGGAGTTAGTTACATCTTTCTGAGTTCAAATCTGGCCTCAGACACTTAGTAGCTGTGTGACACTGGGCAAGTCACTTAAACCTGTTCTTCTCAATTTCCTCATCTGTAAAATGAGCTTGAGAAGGAAGTGGCAAACCACTCAAATATTTCTGCCAAGAAAACTCCAAATGGGGTCAATAGTAGTCAGATGTGACTGAAAAAAGAACACAATAAACAACAGCAAAAATACTTAATAAAATGCTTTATTCACTCATCTGTATAAGGAGATTGGATTATAATGATTACTGTGAACTCCTGAAAAGCAGGGATTATCTTTTGCTTTTCTTTGTACCCCAGTGTTTAGGACAGCACCTGCTACATAGTAGGCCTTGATAAATGTTAACTTCCAGTTCTAAATCTTGTGATTTGAATGAGCAGGATAATAACATTGCCTTTTTATTTTCTTGACACTTTTATTGCTTTAACTCTTTCAACTTTTAATTTATAGGTGGGGTACCTTCTGCTGGTCTTCAATAAGTGTGCCTGGGCTATATTTAGTTGGTTTTTTTTTTAAAGGCTACATTTAAGGAATTTAACACATCTCTATGAACTTTTGGCATAATATTCTGTGATATTGTTAAAGCATTCTTGTTAATCGATGCTCAAATTTGTTCAAAGTAGGGATCTTTTGGGGGGCAATTGGAAGGACATTTCAAACAGATAATCAGCCTCCTTTTTCTTTCTTCCTTTTTTTCTAAACTAACACTTTGCACTAAAAACTCAAACATTTTGAGAATATTGCTCCTACACTGAAGATGAAGTTTTACATCTATTACAAGAAGCCTCACAAGATATGATACTCTTCTATTCCTCACAAAAGAAATCAGCACTTCCATGTTTACTCATGAGGAAACATGCTTAGTGAGATTATATATTATTTGTGTACATAGTTTTTAGAAGTTGAAAGAAACATTAGAGATCATCTCCTTGTCCAAATTCATACCATGGCAGAGACAGGATTAAAACCTAAATAATAGGAATCAGATTTAGAAGGGGTCTTGGAGAGTACAGTATTATAGATTGAGAGCAGAATGGGTCCCGAAGGCCACCTAGTCCAAGACTCTCATTGTACAAGTGAAGACATGATGGCCCAGAGAGGTACAGTGACTTTTCCAAGGTCACACAGTCCAAGCGAAGAACCCAGATTCGAATCTAGATCACCATCAGATTCGGAACCCAGTGCTCTTTCAACTACAGTAACGCCATTCGGCCTTTACGATATTTCAAATTAAGCCTTTGAGGATAGTTCGAAAAAAGAAAGTTGTTTCACACCCCAGCGACTTGGCTTGGCCTATCAAAAGTGTACATTGTTGTGCTGAGCTCCCTAAATGTACTACCGCTTTTTAAATGCAGATACACGTAAGAAGGAGCAGGAGAAGCGGGTCATGGGTCCGAGAGGTGAGGGGTCCAAACCGATCCGAGCAGAACGGTACCAGGAGGGACCAACTTGGGGACTAAGGGATGAAAAGATGGAGGAAATGGGGAACAGGGGCAGGGGTGGAGAGAAAGGAGGTCGCCCGAGCCGGAGCCAGGTCGGGAGGGGACCAGACGGTGCCAGACAAAGTCAGGTCTCCTCTGGGGAGCGAGGGCAGAGCGATCTTCGCCGGGAGTCTCGAGGGCTGGGGGGGCCGCGAGGGCAGGAGCCGGACACAAGGTGAGCGAGTCCTAGGATGGGGGCTGGGCGGGGGCGGGGCGCAGGCCGCGACGCGGGGCCCAGGAGGGCGGGGCGACGGGCCGAGGGAGGACCGCGGGGTGGAGCCATTGGAGGAGGAGGCCGGAGCCGGGAGAGGGGCGGGCCGGGGCCCGCGGCGCTCGAGCTGGGGGCTGGGGTGGGGGAGGGCGCTTCGGTGCCCGCCTGGTTTGAGGAGCTCCCGAGGTAGGGTGAGGGAATGGAGAGGGAGGGTGTGAAGGGCTGACAGGCCCCGAGTGCGCTGCCGCGGCCCCCAGGCCGGGCCGGGGGCGGAGTCTGGGGCGGGCCCGGGCCCGGGGGGCGGGTCCTGCGCCGGGCTCCCGCGGGGAGCGGCGGCCGGTGGCGCAGGCGCGGTTCCCGCCTCCTCCTGGACTGGCGGAGCGAGTGGAGGAGGCTGCAGCCCCCGGCTCCGGCTCCAGCTCCGGCTTCGGCTCCGGCTCCCCGTCACCGCCCCTTCCCCGAGCGGGATGAGCTCCCGGAAAGGTGTGTGCGCCCTTTCAGCTCTCTGTCCTCCCCGCCGCCCGGAACCCCGGAGGCCGCAACGTCCCCAACCGTTAATGTGTGTCTCTCTCTCTTCCCTTCCCCCCCCACAGTGCTGGCCATTCAGGCCCGAAAGCGGAGGCCGAAGAGAGAGAAACATCTGAAAAAGTGAGTCTGGACTCCCCGACGCCGCCTCGCCGCCACCCCCATGGCCCCCCTGACCGGGGAGGCTCGGGGGGCGCCGGGTTCCCGCGGAGGAAAGTTGCCCGGACCCCCCTGGGGGCGGGGCAGGGGGCGGGGCGGGCCGCGTTGGGCGCCCCCCCTCGGGATGCTCTTTACGCCCCCCCCCGCTGCGCCCCTTTCGCGGGACATTCCCCCCTCCCACAGGACGCTCCCCCTTCCCACGCAGCACCCTCTCCCCTGGGGTCGGGGTTGGGGCTGCGCGGCCCCCGGGAAGGCGGGCGAGACTAGGGCTCCAGGCAGCCGGTCGCTGTCCCGGGGCTGGGGGGAGGGGTGGGTGCGTGCCTCCCGCGGCCGCCGCCGCCGCCGCCGCCTTTGGCTCAGACCGCGGCTCTGCATCCTCGCCCAGACCTCTGCCTTCTTGGGTGGGGGAGGGAGAGCGGCCGTCGGGGTGTTTGAATGAATCTCTCAGGCGGGCGCGTGCGTGCCCTTTTTTTTTTTAAACTTCTCTTCCTCATTTCGTATTTTATCTTAGTGCGCCTTGAACGCATTTTCCCTTTCGCAAGGAGGTGTAAGTTTGTAGGTGCAGGTGTTGAAGATGTACTTGCATTCATTCATTCACCAATCAA